ACCTAGTGGAGTAGGCCTCCGGGGAGATCACGTTAAAATAAACGCGCCATGTACTTTATCTCTTGGGTGGTGTCGAAACAAGTACACATTTTCAATAATTAAAATTAATTATTCATAAATTAATGAGCGAATTAATGATACGCCACTGTTTCATGACAAAATTAAAGAAACTAAACTAAAACTAGTTTTAGTGAACACTAATCGACATTTGATTTCGGAAAATCGACTATAATATGTATATCATACTTTACGCAAAATTGTAAAATTTCCAGGGATTTTGTGCCTAAATGGTTGACTTTAGCGAAAATTTTCATAAAACCTTTTTTATAGGAAATTTCATTCTCTTTAATTTTGTGTCAAATTTTCGCGAAATCTCTCTCCTCAAATTTTCGCGAAAAACACATAGTTTTCGAGATATTCACAAAATACCGATTTTCGGCGCCATCTTGGCAAGATGGCGGCGCCGGCGGTAAGTGGAAATGTGCATTTTATGGATTTTAATTAGGGACCCCAAAACCTATAAACCTGCAAAGTTGCAAAACTTCCGGACTTTTTTCCAAGCAAAAATCCCCAATGACTGACCTATCTCTCCATGGATACAACTGATTACCGCAAGCTGTTGCTAGGATATTCTATTAATGTTAATTGTGTTTTTTAAGCAATGTGAATGATCGTAAACTAATAAATTTTAAGAAATAAAACTTTTTTAAAAACAAGCTTTTATTTAAATATACTAAAAAGAAAAAAATAAACTTTTTCTTTAAAACTTTTATTATGAACTTATAACGTCATTACACAATTTTATTATTATAAAAAAGCTTGTCGCAAAACTTGAGTGTACAGTTGCACTCGTAAAAATCTGGTACGACAACTTTATCTTGTGTCTGGTGGTCTAGTGGTCTATAATAACACAAACTTTCAAAATGAGACAGGGTAGACACAGGTTTTAGATTGTCATGTATATTGTAAATACCAAAGGTATATACTTCAAGTATATTATTTATGTCACCCATCAATCAAAACACATCTAATAGTCTAGGAGATGAGTATTTTTTAGCTTTGTACACTGACAAGCATTAACAACTCAGACAATTTGTGTATGTAAACGTACCAAAATTTTGTTAGTTTTAATGCATTTAAAATATGGTATGTCAAAATTGTGTACTTACTCGTATGTATTTATTTAGTTTGAAAAGTTTTACAATTAAAATCAAATAGATCCAGTAATTTAATTTACTTGTTATTAATTATTTAATTGTGTAATGACGTTATAAGTTCATAATAAAAGTTTTAAAGAAAAAGAGTTTCTTTTTTTCTTTTTAGTGTATTTAAATAAAACCTTGTTTTTAAAAAACTTTGTTTTTTCTTAAAATTTATTTTTTACATTTTAGTTATGGTGGTTTCTCAGTGTCACACACTTAAACTCAATTTTTTTTTGAAACTTCCTATGGACATCCTAATAATACGCACCCGGTAGCGTCTCTAAAGTGTACCCCTATAACTTTTTTATTTTTTCAGATAAAAAACGAGATTTGGCATTTTGGTATATGACATAAATTAGGATTGATTGACGTATTCAATTCTTTTCGGCCATTTTCTGTTTCATCGGAAATTACTACAACTTTTGATTTTTAAATAGCAGCCTTGGTACTTTTTTACTTTATTCGATAGAAAATGACGTTCTGAATAGAATGACATATCATATGTCAACATTTGACATTTTCGCTTAAAACCAAATTGAATTTTAAATTTCAATCTAGAATGCCATGGCTGTGTTAAAACACTAACATTTCATCAAGAAACCTTAGAAAAATAAATTTGATCGTCTAATGTTTTTCGTGTCTTGTCCTGGTCGGTTAAAAGATGCCCAAATCGTATTTTTAATCATATCTCAATTTTTTCAAATGGAACGAGGGTAGCTTATTAGCATATTTGGAAAAAAATTTTTTTTACGAATAATTTGGTACCACATAATATTTGGTATTTCGAGTTAAATTGTCGTTATGAATTGCATGTTGTAATTTCAAATAAATCATATTTGAAAATGTCAAAAGTTGACATACGAAATGTCATTCTTTTCGGGTGTCATTTTCTATCGAATAAAGTAACAAAATACCGAAGGTGCTATTTAAAGATCAAAAGTTGTAGTCATTTCCGGTTAAACGGGAAGTAGCCGAAAACAATTGAATACGTCAATCAATCCTAATTTATGTCATATACTAAGATACCAAATCTCGATTTTTTGTCAGACAAATAAAATATAAACCGGCTATGGGGTAGGGGATATCCAATATATCGATTTTTATCAAAATCGACAACTTTGAAATTTTATGACAGCTGTCAAATTTGACAGCTCAATTTTTTTTTCTTTCATTTTAGCACATTGCCATCCTATATATCGATTTTTATCAAAATACTAAAGCTTTTTTATAAATTTTCACTTTTCTACTAATTATAGATACTTCAAAATTTGCGATGAAAGTTATTTTGGCCTTTGATTATCATCCGTCAAGAAAAATTGTGGTTAGAAAAGTTGATTGTTTAATAAGCTAAAAATTAGGCTTTCTCTATGGACACAACTGACTACTGCAAGCTGTTGCTAGGATATTCTATTAATTTTAATTATGTTTATTTAGATATTGTGAATGATCTTAAACTAAAAAGTATAAAGTGTTATTGAAACCACCTAATTTATTCACTAATTACGGGTTCTGAATGAAGCTTTGCTTTTATAATCACAATGTCACAAATAACATTAAAATTAATAGAATATCTAACAACTTGCTGTGAAAGTCGTTAACCTCCATAGAAAACTAATAACTTATAATACTATAAATAATAAGTATAAGATACAAAACAATCTTGACGAATTTCTCTTGATGATGAAGGCCAACATGACATTACTCCATTACTCGCAAATTTTGAAATATAATTAGTGGAAAAAGTTAAAAGTTTGTTAACTTTTTCTACTAACTGAAAATTAAGATCACTAATTTTTGACATTTTAAATTGAAATTACAGGAAAAAACGTCTACGCTAATTAAAACTAGATTACAGTTGGGGGTTGGAACCTTTGGTGTTACAACAGCAAAATAAAACACTAATTCACCACAATACACCAAACCAAACCAAAACCCTTTTACTTTTGCACTGGATGCGCGTTTCGCTAACCAGGTTAGCATCATCAGCATATGATTAAAACTAAACTTTAGAGAGAAAACTCTAAAGTTAAAATAACAAGTAAAACTTACTCATTGCTAGCAGGGCAACCATTTTGACGACGATTTCCGGCGGCTCGCATTCGGTTACAAATGCCTCCACCGCGTACTTGCCGAAACTCAGGCAGATTATGGCCATTTGGGATGGTTTCAGCACCAGGGTACTGGCCCAGGAGAAGAGGAACGCCGGCGGTGCCCCGAAAGCGTCCATGAAATAAGCATACTCGGCTCCGGAGGACGTGTTCATGGTGCCTAGTTCAGCATAGGACAATGCACCTGCAATTCGAAAGAGATAATATACAGGATTGTTCACCACATACGACACATAGTATTGTAGCTAAACGATTAGATTTTTACAAATTGTAAGTTTTGGGTTCGTTAAAGGAGTATTAGAACTACAATTTAGAAATATTTTTACAAGATACAGAGTGTAAATATAAATAAATAAAAAATATCAAAGTTGTATTTTTTTAAATGGAACACCCTGTATATTATTACATTTTTAGTTACTACTATTAAAATAAAGGTAAATTTGATTAAGGTTTATCACACTTAAACATTACCGTTTTTGAAATATTTTCAATTTTGTGAAATTGCAGTAAAAAATTTAAGGCTTTAGTTCTCCAAGCGTATCAGAGTTTTTAATACTAAATATTTACTGAAGATTGTTTATTGATCAGATATGGTGTTGCCATAATAAAAATTATACTACCTAATACAGAGTGTCCAAAAATTTATATTAAATAATTACTAGCTTTAAACTACAATAACTTGTTTAATTTAAATGGAACAGTCTGTATATTGCAAGCCCATTTTTTTACAAAAAGAAAACAATTTAAATCCTTGTAAAAGAGTATACCAATTAAATAGACCACCATTATTTCCGCTCAAAAATTAGTTATTTACATACTTATCATTATTACATACAATAATTGTTTTAATAATTAATAAATTATTCTAAATAAATGTGGATTTGACTAAGAAATCAATATATGTAATAATAAGTTATGAAAATAAACGTCTCTGTTTTGGAGCAATTATTATTAATCAACGTAAACAATCAATTAATGTAGTTTGAATACTGGGATTATATTAATTGGTTCTCTTTAACAAAAAATATTTAAACAGTTTTTATTTTTTAATGAATTAAACAAACTATATTAGTATCAATATTAGTACCTGGTACTCTTTGAAAATTTGTTACATCTTTAAAAATATAATCTAAAATGTCAATATTCCATGGGTATATTGATAAATGAGGTCTAAATTATAAAAAAAATGCATTTTCTAGGAAAACTTGAAGAGATAGCTAAAAAATAGTTGTAGTACTAATACAATTTGATAGACAATTAAATTGTGCATCTGATATTCGTAAAATATACAGGATGTTCCATTTAAATTAAACAAGTTATTACCGTTTAAAGCTAGTAATTATTTAATATAAATTTTTAGATACTCTGTATAAGGTAGTATTTTGTTTATTATTACAACACAATATTTGATCAAGAAATAAACTTCAGTAAATATTTAATATTAAAAACTTTGATACCCTTGGATAAATGATTCCTTATTTTTTTTTACTGCAATTTCACAAAATTAAACTAACTACTAACTATTGAACTAATTTAAACACTAATAATGTATGACCCAAAAAAAATATAGATAAAAATTGTCTTACCTAACAGGGATAACAACCCGCAAGACATCCATATCACAAAGCTCATACCAATTGAGCCAGTTCTTTCCAACAAACCCGATGGGGAGACGAAAATTCCAGACCCTAAAATTATAAAATAATTAGATATAAAAATAATCGAAAGCAAACCAAAAACATACGCAGTTACCTATAAAACAAATACCCCAGAATAATTTTTTATTGATATTTTAAACCGCATTATATGCATGCATAGGCAACACTTATTTCACCATGAAATAAATATAAGAAGAATGGAAGAACATTTGGTACATTTTTATTTGGAAAACAAACTGAAAATCAAAAGTTCTAGAACTTTTGGTACTATTCAGCCAGATTTAGAGTACAATATTATTTTTAAATACTACACCTATTTTAATATCTACACCTTTACGACCGGTTGATTTATTGAACAAAACCTGGGCAAACCAGAGTATCGGCACTGAAGACCTTGTCGTTGGTGGGAAAGCTCCTGGTCATGTGCTGGGGGGAATCCCCCCTTGCGCTTGGCTTGGTTTAACAAGCATCTCACTTATCGTCTTTTCCCTGGCTGTAGTGTCATGGCCAGGGAATTGCACCAAGACATATAACGATGCCGGACGGGGCTACCCCTGTCCGTCATACCAGGCACCCTCTACTGACTGTGGTCATGTCTTGCGGGTAGAGGGTGTGGGGGGGTCTTGGTTTAACCGCCTGGACCAAGAGGAGACAACCTCACCAAAAATCTAAATTCTACGATGGCGGGACCAGGTCAAAGGGATGCGTGACTAGCTAGTGGACTAGTCATTACTGGCCTCAACCTTGGGGCATCAGGGGGCACCCCATTATAATTACCCCTTACTTCTACATGCGGGGCTCTGTAGAAGTGGACTGACTATCCCTAGCGACTCGTGGGAACACTATGAGATCTAGTATTAAAACACCACCCGTGAAGCTGTGGGGAAGTCCCCTAGCGAGACTGGGAACATTACAAATCCAAAGGAAACTACAAGAGGGGCGGCTGACACTTGCTTGGGATCATCCTCCATAAGTGGCACACAAGCTACCACCTTCTTCAGCAAGGGTCGGGAGCCTACCTCTAGACCCGATAAGCTACCCACACAAGTTACCGTCTCGTCTACCCGGCCTGGGTCAACCAGGCGGGCGAGACGATCCTCTGAGAGTAGGTTTTAGCGGAGCAGAAGCACGGAGATACCTCCGACTTCTCCACGAAGGACTTGCTCCAGAGGAAGCAAAAGTGAAAACACTCCTCCGAAAAGGGGAGAGTAAAGAAACCAAGAAACCTGACTCATCTCCATCAAAGGGCAAGCTCTCACCTCTTCTCCGGCGGTGAAAATGGCGGTGCTGCCAAAGGATTTCCCAGAGATTGCTCTGACCACCGACCAGCAAACGTCTCTAGAAGAGGCTCTACTGGACGAAGTAGTGGCGATCGGATCGCAACACAACGATCTACAAAATGTGGGTCAGCTGCGTTGTGCAGGGATACACTTTCGGGTGGGCATGATCCTCATAGATTGTGTATCTCAAGAACCGGCGAATTTGTTGGTGAAAATCGCACCTAAGATTAAAAATTGGCAAGGACCGGAACTGCTTGCAGTGAAGGGTGAAAACATCTCTAAAGGGGCGGCCATCACGGTCTTTCTGCCGAGGAGCAAGGGGAAACACAACCTACCTGCTGAGCCCCATCCAGGGTCAGAACTTCATTGTAAGGACATCGAGTTGGCGAGTCATCAACTCGAGGGAGGAGGGTCATGGTCGGGTCATCACAATAGGAATTGACCTCAAATCCAAGGAGGCAATAGAGAAAGAGGGACATATCCTCTATTATAGATACGGGACAGACAACACCGGTATCAGGTCTAAGGAGAGACCAAGTTAAAGAGCTGGAGAAAATGGAGACAGATCCTCCAGCCTCCACCTCACGGATTCCTCAGCCGGAGGCACGCTCCTCAACTGTAAAGGGCGGCACGGAGGGCCAAACCCCAACCGTGGAAGGGTCTGTACCCTCGGAGGAAGAACTGTTGTCAGAAGAGGATAGGAAATACCCTGTCCCCTCTACAGCAGGAGCATGATGGGTTATAGCAGTGATTCCCAAAGTGGTCCAGGTGGACCCCCAGGGGTCCACGGGAGACTTGCTGGGGGTCTACGTAGGCGTGAACAAAAAATGGGGGTCCATAAGATGTTAATGGGGGTCCACGAAAATTTATCTGCTTTTGATAGTAAAGAGCAAAAATGTAAGCATAGTTTTTATAAGGGCCTACCTACATTGTTTTAAGTACCTATCTAAGCAGATAATATTTTAATAAGGCAAGCGACAAGCGACTGTTACTTGTCCAAACTTTTTCGTGTACAGACTTGCAAAACAATTTCGTGTACAGACTTGCAAAGCGCTATCCGCCCGACAATGCTTAATGCTTGTTCAGACATGAACTTGATCACCACTATAAATACTTGATGCCAAAGGCAAACGCATTCATTTGTTTCCGGAATTTCGAAAAAGGCGGAATTTGGAAAAAAAGTTGTGAGAAAATTTATATCTGTGTTTGCTAGTGCCGGAGAAAAGTAAGTAACCTACCTTTTTTTTTGTTATAAGTACTTAAGTATTTTGTTTACGTGTACCTAGTCGGTTGATCACAACGGCCTGTATAGATAGGTAACTTAGTAACTTACAGATATTTTAGAATTGTCCTCTTTCGATTTGAAGACAAAACACAGCACGTTTTTATTCAATTGTTTTTCACGAGGAAAGCATCGCCCCTCTAAAAGGCCGAATAAGCAATATTGCAGAGCAATTAATTTTGTAATTTTTCTTGCAAATAACTACTAATTTTATAAAAACAGTAATTTCAGCAATCATTTTAAATTGGTTTTGAAGTAACTATTTTATCAAAACTATTCCTTTTCGGAAAGAGCGAGCGGTGCGGGCGACGGGAAGGGCGGGCTTGAACTTCGATGCCAGTTTGTCACGTTTTAACAATGAAGCCGCAGATAAAAAATACGCAAATACACGGAGCGCGTGAACTCATTGATTTAATAAAATGTTAGTTATCGTTTTATGGACAGTTTGGGATTTCGACTTTTATTTTTCCTACACAAATATGACTTCAGTATTCGATACTGAGTACACCAATTTTATTTATACTATTAAAAATTAGTTGGTAAATTATGTACTTTAAAATTGATACCGTTTTGTGAAAACGTCTGTATTTGTCTCAGCGGTTTATTAGTTGGTCCTTTACAAGTTGTAATTCTATTTCCGCGTGCCAGGACAAAGGCTGCGGTGTGATACCTATATTCAGAAAAAAACTTGGTTACTAAAACATTTTTTTTACAGGTAAGGTAACTGACACGAAACATGGCTACAGCAAAGAAAAAATGTCGACAATATAGTATCGATTATTTGAAATATGGTTTTGTTCCATCAGAGGCAGACAAACAATTGCCCATGTGCCTATTATGCAACAAAGTTTTGAGCAATGACTCTATGAAACCATCAAAGCTCGAAGATCATCTAAAAAGGTGTCATACTGATAAAATAGGTAAAGATTTAAAATATTTTCAAACATTGAAAGAAAAATATGGAAAGAGACCCACCATGCACAGTATGTTCGCTTCAACATCTCAAAGTAACGATGATGGCTTGCGGGCATCTTACAATATCTCATTACTTATAGCAAAATCTGGAAAACCGCACACTATCGGAGAACAATTAATTTTACCCGCTGTTGAAGAGGTTTTAAAAACTGTTTTGCACAAATCTCCATTTGACGTACTAAAAAGAATTCCATTAAGTAACAATACTGTACAAAGACGCATTGATGAAATGAGCTCTGATATCGAAAGCTTTTTGTGCAATCATCTGCAAAAAACTCATTTTTCTATACAACTGGACGAGTCAACGTTACCCAGTAATGAAGCATTACTATTGGCATATGTCCGATTTATTGTTGAGGAAGAAATTCACGAAGAATTGCTATTTGCCAGAACTTTGGAGACTGACACTAAAGGCGAATCAATATTTAATGTCCTGAGTAATTTTTTTACGGAAAAATCGATCCCATTTACAAACATTATTTCAGTGGCAACAGACGGAGCTCCTGCAATGGTCGGGCGATATCGTGGGTTTATAAGTCATCTCAAAAGAATTATACCAGGACTTACAGCTATTCATTGCGTAATCCACCGACAACATCTTGTGGCAAAACATTTAAGTGACAGGTTGAACCAATCTCTTCATTTTGTAATAAAAGCTGTCAACAAAATCAGAAGCAATGCATTGAATACGCGTTTATTTGCTCAATTGTGCGACGAAAATGATGAAGACTTCCAACGACTGCTCTTACATACTGAAGTACGCTGGTTGTCGAAAGGTGCATGCTTAACGAGATTTTACTCTGTTTTCGATTCCATATTAGAGTTCTTAGAAAGTAGAGATCCAGATTTAAAAGAAAACTTGATCAAATTCAAAGCAGACATTGCGTATTTGACAGATTTGTTTAAAAAATTTAATGATATTAACTTGCAGTTACAAGGGGACAGCCTGAATTTAATAAAAACAAAGGGGATAATTTCGGCTTTTCTTGGGAAATTGAAATTTATGAAGCAAAACATTAGTCGGCGCGAATTCTCTCAATTTCCAAACTTGTCGCAGGTAGAATGTATTGATGAGGATATCCATACCTACAGTCAACATTTAAGTGCTCTGCATGATGACTTCAAAACCAGGTTTGAAGATATACTGACGATGGATATACCACCATGGATCATAAATCCATTTGATGAAACGGAAGTGGCCAATGTTGTATTACAAGAGGAGCTGCTCGAGCTAAGCACTAATGAGGAGCTGAAGGTGAAATTTAGAAAAGGCTACCCAACATTTTGGCTGCAAGCAGAAATACCCGAAAAATATCCTGGACTGTGGGAAATCGCAAGGAAATTTTTAATAGCTTTTCCCTCGTCATACCTTGTCGAAAGGAGTTTTAGTGCCGTTACAAACCTCTTAACAAAAAAAAAGCAATTAAACATCACAGAGCAGGGGGGATTTGCGGTTGTGCTCACAAAAATAAAGCCAAACATTGATCGTTTGC